CACCATGAAACCCCATCTCTACTAAAAATACAAAAATTAGCCTGACATAGTGGCATGCACCTGTAGTCCCAGTTACTTGGGAGGCTGAGGCAGGAGAATCCCTTGAACCCAAGAGGGGGAGATTGCAGTGAGCTGAGATCGTGCCACTTCACTCCAGCCTGGCAATAGAACGTGACTCCATCTCAAAAGAAAAAAAAATGCTAGGTAGCACCAGAGGCTTCAAAGGAGGGAGCTCACCTCATGCCAGGATATGCAGAGACAGAGACAGCATCCAGGCCAAACTTCCCTTCACTAACGTTCGCACCCTCAGCAACTTGTCTCCCAGAGGCCTGGATACATTTCACTCCCCATAAGAAGTCATAGTCTGGGAGCTGCTCCTCTTTTCATACTCCCTGATCCCTCAGGAATGCTTTCATTAACATATATTATGCCATCTTCCTGCTCTGCCATGACTGTGGGTTTCCTCTTCCACGTCTCTTCCTCTATATCATACACACCCTAGCTCGTGAGCTCCCTGAAGGTAGGAAGCATGTCTGCCTTTCTTTTGCGTCCCTAGCACCTGGCATACATGCTGAATAGGTGAGTGAACGAATGAACAACCGAATGAGCACTGCCTCTTCCCCATAGACACATTTTATACACTTCCTGCGTCTTCATGCTCTGTCACCTCTCCTCCCTACACATCACATGCTCCTGACCTTGACACGCTCAGAAATCCCAGTTATAAGCTGGGACTTGGTTTCCTTACCTACCTGTGGCTTATCTAGGGAAGTCTCAGCCCTCCCCTGAAAGTCTGAAAGAGAGGGCTCTTGACTCCTCTAAAGTCATATTAACTGGGTCCCATGGGGGGCAGAAAGGGACTTCTCTGGAAGAAGCAGCTGGCTATTGGGAGGGTAGCAGGATCCTGCGCTAACCTGAGGTCTGTTGCTCCAAATTGACCACATCCTCCTGCGTCTGCTATCCCTACTCCTGACCAGTGAGGCTGTCCCAAGGTAGGGGGTGGTTGTGGCCTCTGTCTCAAGGCTGGCTGGCAGACACAGACAGATTTAGAAGTCATTTTCACAGCAGGGAGCCTCCAGCGTCCCACCCACAGAGCCCTGCAGGGTCAGCCTGAGATATGGCTCACCAGGGGCTGGTCCCTAGACCTGCAGTTGCTCCTCCTCTTCTTGTCTCCCTTTTTCCCTAGAATTTTGGCAGCTGGTGCTGATTCTATCCTTAGGCAAAGATGGAGTAAGTTCTGGGGAAAGGAGTGTGCTGCACTGACACTCTATAACTACCCAGGTGCTCCCTGGGCACCATCCACCCACTAAAAGGGCTGTCTGTACCCACACCAGGACTCCCCTCTTCTCTCCACTAGCATCTGCTGCCTGGTTTTCCTCCTCCTTTACTTGTCTTCTTTCTTTCTTTCTTTCTTTTTTGAGATGGAGTCTTGCTCTGTCACCCAGGCTGGAGTGCAGTGGCACGATCTCGGCTCACTGCAACCTCTGCCTCCCAGGTTCAAGCGAGTCTCCTGCCTCAGCCTCCCGAGTAGCTGGGATTACTGGCATGCACCACTACACCAAGCTAATTGTTTACCTTTTTAGTAGAGATGGGGTTTCTCCATGTTGGTAAGGCTGGTCTTGAGCTCCCGACCTCAGGTGATCCCTCTACCTTGGCCTCCCAAAGTTCTGGGGTTACAGGTGTGAGCTGCCGTGCCTGGTCTAATTTTTGGATTTTTAGTAGAGACAGGGTTTCACCGTATTGGCCAGGCTGGTCTCAAACTCCTGACCTCATGATTTGCCAGCCTCAGCCTCCCAAAGTGTTGGGATTACAGGTGTGAGCCTCTGCACCTGGCCATCCTCCCCTACTTCTTGTTCTCTCTCCTATCCTCCTGTTCTCACACCCCAACACTAATAAAATAGCCCTAGGGAGAAATAATAATCAGAACTAACACTTAATCACCTACTATGTACCAGGTATTATTCTTTTTTAATTTTAATTTGTTTCTTCCTTTCTTTCTTTCTTTTTTTTTTTTAAAGATGGGGTTTCACCATGATGGCCAGGCTGGTCTTGAACTCCTGACCTCAGGTGATCCACCCACCTCGGCCTCCCAAAGTGCTAGGATTACAGGCGTGAGCCACCGCGCCCGGCCAATTTGTTTCTTTTTAATTAAAAAAATTAAAAAACAGAGAGAGAGAGAGAATCTTGCTATGTTGCCCCAGGCTGGTCTTGAACTCCTGGGCTCAAGAAATCCTCCCACCTTGGCCTCCCAAAATGCTGGTTTTACAGGCGTGAGCTACTGTACCTGGCCAATTATTCTAAGTGCTTTACATATTGAATTATATACTTCTCCCAACAACTCTAAGAGAAAACCGCCTTCTTTCTTTCTTGCTTGCTTTCTTGAGAAAGGGTCTCTGTTGCCTAGGCTGGAGCACCATGGTATAATCATAGCTCACTGCATCCTCAAACTCCTAAGCTCAAGCACTTCTCCCACCTCAGCCTCCCAAACAGCTGGGACTACAGGAGAGTGCCACCACACTCAGCTAATGAAAACACATTTTTTTTTTTTTTTTTTGAGACAGTGTTTCGCTCTTGTTTCCCAGGCTGGAGTGCAATGGCGTGATCTCAGCTCACTGCAACCTCTGCCTCCTGGGTTCCAGTGATTCTCTTGCCTCAGCCTCCCGAGTAGCTGGGATTACAGGCATGCACCACCACACCTAACTAATTTTGTATTTTTAGTAGAGTCTGGGTTTCACCTTGCTGGTCAGGCTGGTCTCAAACTCCTGACCTCAGGTGATCCAGCAGCCTTGGCCTCCCAAAGTGTTGGGATTATAGGCATGAGCTATCATGCCTGGCCAAAAAGCACTTTTTGTTTTGTTTTGTTTGTTTGTTTGTTTCTGCAGACCTGCAGCCAAAAAAAAAAAAAAGCAATTTTAATAACCTCAGTTTATAACTGAGGACACCAAGGCACAGAGAAGTTGAGTAACTTGCCCAAGGTCACATAGCTAGTACAGAGTAGAAGCCCCAGAGTCCATATTCTAAACACGTTATCCAAGTTTTCAACTATGTTAGTGGTGTAAGTGAGATTTTAGAAACTGGCTTCCTGTGTGTTCATCCTCAAAGGGGCTCAGGAAGCATAGTAAGGGCCACCCTCATGGGGCCAGCCCTTCCACTGTTGCATACAGCTCACCTCTTCTACCAGCCCCAGAGCCTAGAGCCCTTGGGTTGAAGAAAAATCTAAGCAGATGCTTTCATCACTGCTCTGGTCTTTCTCAACATTTTTTTTTTTTTTTTGACAGTCTTGCTCTGTCACCCAGGCTGGAGTGCAGTGGTGTGATCTTGGCTTGCTGCAACCTCCACCTTCCAGATTCAAGTGATTCTCACGCCCCAGCCTCTCCCAAAGCTGGGATCACATGCATGCGCCACTACACCAGGTAAATTTTTGCATTTTTAGTAGAGGTGGGGTTGCCCATTTTGGGGAGTCTGGTCTTGATCTCAGGTGATCTGTTCACCTCAGCCTCCCAAAGTGCTGGGATTACAGGTGTGAACCACCACGCCAAGACCTTCCTCAACTTTCCTCCTCACCTGAAGTCCAGTCTCCTCTCCAGCCCGGAGGTCCAAGGCACATACTCCTCAGTTGGACCAGGCTTACCCCAATCTGGTCTTAGTGTTCACTCTTGCTTTATCTTCCACAACTGCCATAAATGTACCCTCAACTGCAGTCAAATCAGACCATTGGGCAATTTCCTAGACATACCCTGCTTACCTGCATCCATGCCTCTATTTTAGCTTTTCCTTCTACTTGAAATGCCCTTTCACCAAATTCTACTGCTGAGGACGTCTCCTCCATGGAGCCTTCCCTTATCTCACAAAATCCTTACAGTCCCCCTTACATGGCTCCTTGTAATACATTGCTCACCTTCACCCCATTGTTGGAAAGGCCTTATTCATCCCTGTCCTGAATTCAGCACAGTGTCTTGTTCCTAGGAGGCGCTCAATAAATGCTCAGTAGTTAGAATTGGTAGTAATTAGGTGGAATTGTAGGTGAAAGGGAGACAGATCTCAGTAACCTTTGTTTGTTTGTTTGTTTGAGATGGGATCTGGCTCTGTTTCCAAGGCTGGAGTGCAGTGGCCCAATCTTGGCTAATTGCAACCTCCTTCTCCCGGTTTCAAGTGATTTAGCCATTCTCCTGACTCAGCCTCCTGAGTAACAAGGACTACAGGCACATGCCACCACACCCGGATAATTTTTGTATTTTTGGTAGAGATGGAGTTTCACCATGTTGGAGGCTGGTCTTGAACTCCTGACCTCAGGTACAGTTCTCAGTAACCTTTCATCTCTGCTCATGGTGACCCTCCTCCAGCAAGAGCTAACTTGAAGCCTGGCAGTATGGGTTCCAGGAAGGCTCTGAGGTGAACCTTCCTGGATAGCTCTGACCAATGTCTTCCCTCCTGTTCAGAAACCCAAGAAGAGACCCTCCTCCGCTGAACCATGGATCAGATCGTCGGTCCCTCAGGTGGTCCTGCCCCGCTCCGAGTTCTGCTCAGAGTTTCTCTGGGTGCGGGCGGGAGTGACGTCCAGATAATTGGAAACTAAAACTGTGAGTGGTTTGAGAGCGGGTTTGGGGACCTGAACGATGAGCGGGAGTTGGAGTTGGCGGGACTCGGTTGGAGTGGAGCAGAGGCGGGCCCGGGGGGGCCGGGCCAGGACCTGGCGACTGAGTCTGGGAGAAGCCCCCACGCCCGCGGAGCCGGCAGCTAAATTTACCCCGGCTGACTCAGTCCTTGCCCGGAATGGGGGGCGGGAGTAGTGCGCCCGGGGCAGAAGGAAGAGCCGGCAGGGGTGGGCTGGGGGCAAGGAAGGGAGAGTCTCGGCTGGGGGAGGCAGAGGTGGACCAGGAGCTCCCAACGAGGAAAGTACCACCCTCCCCGTCACACAGAGCGGGAAGTAGCGGAGGAGCCCTGGGGGAGGGCCACTGTGGAGAAAGGGTCAGTGAAAGGAAGATGATGCCAAGGATGGATAAAGGGAAGCTTAGATTTATTGAGCGCCTACTGTGTGCCAGGCGGTGTGCAAGGCGCTTAACATACATTATCGCATTAAATCCTCACAACAACCCTGCGAGGTAGGTGTTTATAAACCCCCATTTGACAGATGAGGAAACTGAGGCTCAGGGAGGTGAAGTGATGCTGCCAAGTTCACATGGCTAATAAATGGCAGACAGAGGAGGTGTCCAGAATCGGAGAGGAAAAAAAAAAAAAAAGACTTCGGTATCGGTATCTGAATCCCAAGCCGGCTGGGGTGGATGAATACAAAGAGGGGCTCGGCGGGCTCCAGAGGTCTGGGAGGCCGGAGGCCTGCTCCCGGCCCCGCGCGGCGGGAGGCTGCAAGGCTGGGGACCCGCGCTGGGGAACTGGGGATCAGATTGAGTGGCAGAGCCGGGATAAGCAACTGGGGAGATCCGCGACCTGCGCGCGCCCTGTAGTGGCTATAGAGAGTATCACACCCCACGCCTTCTGGCTTGTGGGACCAGCTTCTTTCCTTGCGTGGCCGGTTTCCGGAAGAGGCTGAGATGGGAGAAATTCTCAGGATTCTTTTAGGTGGGCGAAACCACCTGGGAGGGAAATCATAACCATGCCTCAGAGCATCACTAAGGAGCATTGGGGTGGAGGAAAAGGGGAAGGCCTAAAGAGGTCCCAAGCTGATTCATTGGCTTCCTTCCTCCCCAGCTCAGACCACCACAGGCCAGGGTCAGTGACAGGGCCACTATCTTGCCCTGCCTTGGGGAGCCCTCACCTAAACCTGGAAGACTAGGATAGGAGTGCTTGGCTTCCTTAGCTCTTCTGCAAGCCCTGGGCAGTCTCCTGAATTGATCATGACTTCTGGTGACAAGGAGGCCACCAGGAACCTTCAGACTCTGTTCACTTATTCCCAACACTCATTCTTGGCTTGTCAAGGGGGAAGATGAGATAGAGTCCTTCCCAAAGATCTCAAAATGTCAGAGATGGAAGGATGGACCTTTGAATGCCGTCATTTTACATACCAGGAGGCCAGGAGGCCTGGAGGCCTGGAGGCCTGGAGAGGGAAAGTGGCCGGCCTCAGTGGCAGAGGTGGGATTGAAATCCAAGGCTTGTGAGACCAAGGTGAGCCCTCCTTCTGCTTTGCTGGTTTTACTGGACCTATTTCTCTTCTGCCAAGAACCCCTTTGTCATCTGATCATTCTGTCACTGAGTCCAAAGCCTCTCCTTCACTTTTTCCCTCCTGCGCAGAGGCCCTCCGCAACACTGCCTTCCTATGGCTGCCACCATCCCAGCCCTCCTGCCTGATCCTGGTTAGGCCTCTCTGTTCAGCTCCACCCCCAGTGCATCAGGCCCTGCGAAGAGCACACCCTAGTGCCCTGAACACGGCAGGCAGGCATTAATTAAATCTACTGCTCACTCTCACCTCTCCTGAAACAAAATCATGAATGGGTATATGCTTCCCTTTCTTTCATTTCTATGTCGAGGATGGGACCAGGTATGGTAAAGATACAAGGAAAAAAGAAGTAAAGGAAATCTGTGGGGAAGAATGGGGACCAGTGGACCCAAGGATGGATGTGTTGGGGTCACGAATACAAGAAGGGGCCCCTCACTGCCTCTTCCTATTTCCCTGTTGGGTCCCTTTGATGTCCCTCACCCCGAAGAGGACCTCCTCGGTTTCGCTGACGACGTCTACAATCTCCCCGACCCTGTCACTCAGTTCCGCTGTCTTTCCACCTTCCTCTGGCGGACTGTTTCCAACCCCGGGCAGGGTCCTCTCGTTCCGCAAGGAGGCGCCCAGGGTTTCTGTGTCGCTTCCATCAGAGGAGCCGCTGTGGACGCTGAGCTCCTCAGCTTCGTCAGTGTCCGAGTCAGGGGCGGTGTGGCGGCGGATACGGGACACGGCTTCTCGCAAGGCCCCGGCGTAGGGCCCTGGGGTCCGCGCCCAGCCCCGGCCTGAGCGCCGCTGGACCACCGCCACTTCCGAGCCCTCGGCTCTGCTCCGGGCTCCCGAAGCTGCTGGGCCTAAGGCTTGGTGCTCTGGGCTACCTGGCTGCGTGGGGGCGTCCCGCAGGTTTACTTCGGGGGCCGGGAGCCCCAAGATGCTGAAGGTGCGCTCCTCCAGTGAGGAGTCCCCCGGCCTCCCGCCCTCAGCTTCTCCCCCGCCGCCCTCGCTAGGCTGGTGTAAAAGGTGACTGCTTGACGGCAGCTTTTGGCAAGGGGAAGGAAAGATTGTGGCCCGTTCACTGTCCTCCTTGCCGGGCTTCGATTGGCTGGGGACATCCCCTACCACGCGTGGCACCCCAGAGGGCAAAAGCTGCACCTGCTGGGTTCGGGGGGTTGGGACATATTGGGATCGTATCACTACGCACGTGGCGTCAATGACAAAGACGCCTTCCCCACGGGATGGGCCCTGGGAACTGCGGGGCAAGGTGTGGGCACGGCGGGTCGCCTTCCAACACTCCAGGGTCTCTGGTCCTGCCCCCTCTCCAAGACCGAGGGATTCTCTCCATCCCGTGCCTCCAGGAGCCCAGGGTCTGGGGAGTGTCTGGCTATGGCGGGGCGGCTGCTTTTTAGGGGAGGGAATCCAGCATTTGGGGAACCAGATCTGTTCTCTTCCTTTTTTCCCTTCCCTCGAGCCCTTGATGTGGTGCCTGGACCTGGGAGCGGGACGCGGGGCACTGGGAGCCGCAGTTGCAGACCCCGCAGGAGCTGTCTCGGTGCCTGGGCTCCCTGTAGCTTTGACTTGGGGATGGCTGTCTCTACCACTGTTCAAGTCAGCAGCAGCCAGCCCCAGGCTTTTCTCCACGAACCCCTTGCCGGACTCTGGCCTTGCTCTGGCTGCTCCACAGCCTGGGGATCCCCCCAAGAGACCCTGCCCGTGTCGGAGACCCCAAGCCCCGAGGACGTCCCGGTAGATCCGAGGATCCAGCCTCTTCTTCATGCGCCCTCCCTCTGTCCTGGAGGGAGTAGGAGCTGGGGCTGATGAAGCGGGCGCTTGGGAGTGCCCGGGTCCACGCTTAGTCCCCAAGGTCCTATGGGGGCCTTCGTAGGAAGGTGGAGCCACGTAGGGTGGCGGCCGGTCCCAGCGGCGTCGCGGGGCCGTACTGGCAGAGCCTCTCAGCAGCAGGTGAGCCTCGTAGCTTGGGGGCCCCGGCCGCCGACCTCCCCAGGGCCCCGCCCACGCCGACCCTGGGTCGCTCTGCGGCTGCGCGAATGGACGGGGCGCTCGCCCCACCTGTGCCAGGAGCTCCGGCCGCGAGGGTGCAGGGAGCCCCGCCGGCTGGGTCGCCCGAGGGGCGTTTCGGGGCTCCGGGCGGGGCCGACCCTGGGGGCTCCGTCTGGCCCCGCCAGCCTTGCGCCTTTTTCGCTCTGTCTCCTTGGCCTCCCGCTCCTGCGACGCCGCTTTCCTTTTCTCTTGCTCCCGAGCTCGGACCTCGGCCAGGGGCCCCGCCCGCCAGTTGGTCGCCTCCTGCAGCACCCTGGAGGCCCAGGGCCGGCGGGGCGGCGGCTGTGGGGATCCCGGGCGCGGCCCACACCTGGGACAATGAGCAGGAACCCAGGTGAGCAGTTTGTGGGGGAAGGGAGCCGAGGTCCGGGGAGCTGGGAACACTGGAGACCGCTTGGGGCAGCCATAAGAAGGGGTGTGTGTGAGTGTGTGCGCGTGTGCACGTGCGTATATGTTAGGACTGAAGTCGAAGTGGGACTCCTCGCCATCTCTCCATGCACACTTTAACAGCGTCTGCCCCATCTCACCTCCTGCCCTTTCTCACGCCCACTCCTATTCCCCCAAACAACCGGATGAGTCAGGCCCCAGCCCTCGGGAGGGGGCAGGGGAGAGAGGCGTGGGAAAGAGAAAGGGGACCAGCAATGCTCGCTAGTGCCTTCGGGGAGGTCCGGACCCCACTCCCCGCCCCACCACTCTCTTCCCCTCACCCCTGCTTCACTCACGTGCGGTTCTGGAACCCGCGAGCCCAGTGGCTGGCCTGGAAGTCCATGGGCTGTCGAGAAGGGGCGCGGCGACTATAATGACAGGAAATAGTCTTCACTTCGATCACCAACAGCTTGGACTTCTGCACCCAAAGGCAGCTGCCAGACTCCTCATCCTGGAGCTCCTGGGGGCTGTCAGGCCCCTCGGAGAACAGTGGGCCATCCAGCATCCTGCCCCACCCCACCCCGGCCCCCCACCCTCCCACCCGCCCCAGGAGCCCCCTCCCAGCCCAGGGAGCCGGCGACCACTGCAGAGCCGCGGGCCCGGGGACTGGGAACTATATATACCCGGGCACACGTGTGTGTGCCTGTCTCTGTGTGTGCGCGCGCATGTGACACCGCGCGGGCTGCTCCGCGCTGCTACCTCCCCCATGTGCACGGCCGCCCCCTGGGGCCCGGGATTGGACGCCCCTTCCCACTGCTGTTGTCCCCCAAGCCTGATGGGATCGCACGAGTGGGCGGGGGAGGGACTTATGATTCTTGACAAGCTGACAGTGCCCCCTCCCCCGCCCCTACTTCTTCAACCTTCCTGCCGTTTTAACCCTTTACTCCTCTGCCTGTCAGGTTGCCTGACCGCCAGGGTTCTGCCCCTGGCTTCCTGCCTCAGATTTCAGTTTCCCCAAAACGGAGTGGTGAGAATGGAACTCAAGGTCTCTGCCTGCTACTCTGCTGGTTTCCATGGGGTTGGGGTGCAGGAGGGGCTGGCCCACGGCTGGGGGGCTATTTTTAGCGGCAGTGGCTGTTCGGGTACAGAGATGAGATGAGTAACCAGCTCCCATGCGGTGGAGAGAGGAGGCGGTGGCTTTCACCAGGCTTTTGTGCGACTTTGGGGGAGAGCTGCCTTCCCTAAGCTCAAAAAGGTTGACCCCTACACCCTTATCTCCTCACCAGCTCAGTGCTGCCCCTAGGACTGCTGGTACAGCAGGACACAGGCACCTACCTTGGCCACCCAAGCTGCCCTCCCAGTCCCATTCTACATGTTTGTCCTTGAGCAGCCAGGGAGCCGTCCCGCAGCAGCAGGCTTTCACCCCGAGTCCAGACGCCAGGATGTGGGGGTTATAGTGTTCTGTGCCCACACAGCTCTGCTCAGCTTTATGGAGGACAGAGTAAATGAGTATGCACTCTCACCCTTCCAGAGGGGGATGGAGGAGGAATGGTGTGTTTGCTTGGCAAAACTAATCCCCTAGCAACTGAAATGACAAAAGTGGCCCTTATTTTTCCAATGTAGAGCTCCCCCTTACCACCACGATGCCTAGTTCACTCAGCCCCCACCTGAAGTGGTGCTCCAGATGCTCACCTTTTGGGCTGCCTCTATCCTGGGGGGCTGTTGCTTACATCCACATGATCCCTCCCCCTAAGCTTATACCAGGTGTCCCCTGATTCACCATGGTAATGTTAGTGGCAGCACAGCCCACGCCAATCCTTCCATGCAGAGACTTAGCAACCATGCCTGGCAACCATGGCAGCAGCTTCAGTGGAGGGGAGGGGTGCAGAGAGAGGGGAAAGAGAGTGTGTGTGGCAATGATTCCTCGGGAAGAAGGGATAATTTGCCTCTCTGGAGAAGAATAGGTAAGAATAGAAGCCTGTGAGTCCCAAATTTTATCCCTTGTCTTTCCCTCAGCTTCATCCTCACACTGAGACTGATTGGATGGGTTTTAGGGGGAAATGGGAGAAGCAAGAGTTCCCAATTAGTTTTCCACTGATGTACATGGAGCCCTTTGGGTCCAGACCCTTCCTTTTAAGGGGATGGGAATGAGAAAGGTTATTGTGGGGCAGAGACTGACTGACTGAGAAACGGCTCAACAAAACCAGGCTTCTGCTCCCTCACACAGACCTTTAGAGAGAACGCAAACATCCCCGTCCCATCCACCCTACCCCCTTGATTTCACACACCTGCCAGCTGCACCGATGACTTGACTCGAAGGTGCGTCCTTCCACCCTAGGTCCCACTAGAGTCCTGAGGCTTTTTAAAGCCCTTGCCTCCTCCTTAGGCAAATCTTCCTTAATGAGGGAATGTGACATAAGGGGCCATCTGTCCTTTCCACCATGTACTTACCCCCGCAACATAAACATACTCTAATTCTAATAACTTGGAAGCCTTCCTCCCCCAAGTTTGAGAATGTGCTGTGCGAGCTGTGAAGAGGTGAAGGCAGAAGCAGGGGCTCCTCCACAGCCATGCTGCAGCACTGAAAGCTGAGCTCTGACGCGGGCCACCTTCTGTTTTTAAAAAAATCAGCTTCTATCTCATGAGTCCCTTGATACTTTTCCCTGTGTTTTCTCAGGAAGCCTAGTTTGGAGAACGCAGTATGCGCTGGCTGGAGGGTCATCAGAGGGGTTAGGCACTGTGGGGGTAGGGACAAGGAATGACTCTGAAATTGCTCCTGGCATGGATGGGAAACTGTTTCATACCTGCAAGGCAGGAGTAAGCTGTCACACAAATTTACCTCATACTCCAGTGTAGCAATTCTGGTGTTGGGTGCTGTTTGGGTCTACTTGGTTTCAGTACAGGGAATGGATCTGATGGAGTGACCATTGCCCTGCTGTTCTCTCATCCCCAACTCTCCAGCTCTTTCAAGAAATGCAAGAGATTTGTAGGTTTAAAGATAGTGCTGGCCGGGTGCAGCAGCTCATGCCTGTAATCCCAGCACTTTGAGAGGCTGGGTCGGGAGAATCACGAGGTCAGGAGTTCGAGACCAGCCTGGCCAATATGGTGAAACCCTGTCTCTACAAAAAAATTCAGAAATTAGCTGGGCGTGGTGGCACATGCCTGTAGTACCAGCTACTCAAGTGGCTAAGGCAGGACAATTGCTTGAACCTGGGAGGTGGAGGTTGCAGTGAGCCAAGATCATGCCACTGCACTCCATCCTGGGCAATAGAGTAAGACTCCGTCTCAAAAAATAGTGCCAACTCAGAAAGCCAAACAATCAAACCTTCCCTGACTAAGAAAAGCTGATAATGGTGGCACGATTCTCTGACCAAAGGAGACCCTCAAGTCTGTCTACTGTTGGGAGTAGACACTAACATTTTTATGAGATTTCCCTTGGGTATGGGCCATAATTCAGGCAGACGGGAAAGTGAGATAATAAGGAGGAACCACAGGGACTAGGGTAAGGAGTAGTTGTGAAAGGAGAATTAGAGGTAGTAAGTCTACTGTAGCAGTAAAGAGCATGATCCCTAGGGCCAGACTGTTTGGGTTCAAATCCAGCTCCACTCTTTATAAGCTATGTGGTCTTGGGTTAGTTACCTAGCCTCTCTGTGCCTCCATTTTTTTAAATCTATAAAACTGGAATAGTGTCTACTATTATTCTGAGGATAAAATTAGTTAATATATGTAAAGCACTGAGAATGATGTCTGGCACACAACTGTGTGACAACTGTGTGTTTATGTGCATGTGTGTGTGCACATACACTATTGTTATTAATGACCAGTTGAAGAAGCCATATAAAGTAGGAAGTTTGGAACAGTGGTGTCTGTCAACTGCAAAAATCAAACACTGTAATACCATGAAGAGACTGCTGTCATTTAATTAGATTTGCCATTAAAAGCAATAACCTTTGCTAACCACACTGCCCTCCTCCTCCACCCAACCCAATCTCCCTTTATATGCACACAGCACAGGAACCCAAAGGCCCTCCTCCCCACAGTCCTCCCCACTGACATTATGGGAAGAAATGTCACTAAATGGACTTGGCCTCCTCCATATAGCATGGAACAGGTGAATAAAAATATCTTTATGAAGAATTTTGTTGTGCTATTACCATCTTCGGGTTGAATCAGGGCCGAGACAGAGGCAGAGGCAGGTGAGGTCTGGGGATCTCTTAGAGATCAGAATTTGTCTGAGAGACACAGAGCCTACAGTTCACCCAGAAAGGGGGCTATATCTAAGAGGACAGGGGCTAGAATTGGTGAGTCTGAAAGTTTTTTCAAGTGTATGTGTGAGGGTAACGGTAGCTATAAAACCATTCTCCTTCCTCCCCCTACACCTTCTCTAGCTCCCAGATAGAAGGGCAGGGGGCCCTGAGCAGGGAACAAAGTCACAATTCCCCCAAGTTTCATCTGATTCCCACAGAGCTTCTAGCAGACAATGAGTTGGGCATATGCCTTGGTGCTGCCTGACCCTTTCCCCAGCTCAGGGATTCTTCTCTCCACCTGTAAGCACCAGGGCCTGCAGGATGTCAGACAGTGATACAATTCCCTTGACCACATCATTTTCATCCACCACTACAAGTCGGTGAACCTGGCACAGAGCAACAAGGGAGAGAGGGAATGTTTAGTGCCGGCCTCGAGGGAAGCCCCTCTGCCCCTACCCACCTTGCCAAACTCCATTCTCAAGGCTGCTCCCCACAGCTTCTTTAGGGTTGCTGGTCTCCCTACCTCTGCTTCCACTAGCCTGTTGATGATGGTCTCCAGAGTCTCATGCAGGTAGCACTTGAGAACACCCTCAAAGTAGTGTGATCGGTGTTGCAGGGCTTTAGTCACAGACACATCTAGGTTGTTGTAGGTCTTTTCTGCTGCCAGATTCTGGGAAGACAGAGGAAGGAGCTTGCAGGGAAGCAAGAGAGCCAGCCTCCAAACCCTAAACCCATCCAACCTCACCAGAGGGATTCAGAGAATTGCCAGCCACAAGCCACACCCAACTCATCCAATTTCTTTTCAAATAGGACTTGAAAGCCTGGAAGCTTCTTTTTTTTTTCAAGATGGGGTTTTACCATGATGGCCAGGCTGGTCTTGGTCTTGAACTCCTGACCTCAGGTGATCCACCCACCTTGGCCTCCCAAAGTGCTAGGATTACAGGCATGAACCACCACGCCTGGCCTTTTTTTTTTTTTTTGAAAGCCTGGAAGCTTCTAAGACCCTTAGATCACAGAAGAGACTCCCTTCTCCCCCTCCATATTTAACAGCCCCACCCCTTCCCTACCTCCCAGACCCTCCACAATCACTCACGATCACATCAAACTTGGAGTAGATGTCCACCACACGCCCTAGGGGGACAGAGGCAGCTCAGTAAGGAGGATCTGGCATCTAAGACTCCCCCTACTCAAAGAATCACCCTCCTGGCTGAGCTGAGGGGAAAACAGATTTTCCTAGAGCCCCCCTAATTTCCCTGGATCTTCCCTCCCTCTCCTTCTGCCCAATCTCTTACCCTTCTCATCCACCACTGGCAGAGCTGAGACTCGATGCTGTACAAAAATGCCCAGAGCCACATAGACGGGGGTAGTAGTGCGAACCATAGCAATATTGGCATAGGTGCCAATCTGTAGCTCTTCCAGAGACTTGGACATGAACTCTGGCTTGGGAAATTCAGTGATCTGAGGAAAGAACCATCAACTTAACTTTGAAGGCATGCAAAACCACTCTTGGATAGCCCTCCAGTCCAGTACG